ACAGATAAGCGTCTATATCGAAGGAAAAATGCAGTACTGACAGAATTGGTGAAAATCAAGGATTCATGAATTGATGGAATACCCATTGAGATGTTTCTACGAATGGATGCCTGGGTGGAGGCATCCACCCATCTATGCCTTGAGATTTCAAGGATAGCTATCTTACCCCCTGACTGGAAGAGATCCATTTTGTACCCCTTCCAAAGAATGGTGATTCATCACAATGTGAAGCTTATCTAACAGAATCATTAATATAACTTGCAAGTAAAATGTTGCTGAAGATAATTCAGAAATGGTTGCAGCAGTATATTGACAGGGACCTTCTATAAACAGAAGCGGCATTCAGAAGAGGACATGGAATGAGGATCGTTGCTCATTATCAGATGGATCTTGGCTCAGAGCAAAGAATACCAGAAAGATGTTTCCCTGTGTTTTCTTGACTATGCAAAGGCATTCAACTGTGTGGAGCATAACAAATTATGGGTAACATTAAGAGGAATGGTAATTCCCAACACTCGATTGTACTCATGACGAACCTGTATACAGACCAAGAGGTTGTCTTTCAAAGAGAACAAGGTGATACTGCATGGTTTAAAATCAGGAAGACAGTGTGTCAGGGTTATATCTTATCGTCATATTTATTCAATCTGTACGGAAAGCAAAAAGTCTGAGAACGTTGACTATATGAAGAAGAATGTGGCTTCAGGATTGGAGGAAAAGTCATTAACGACCCACCACATAGAGATGACACAACTTTGCTTGCTGAAAGTGAGCATGACTTGAAGCACTTACTGATGAAGATTGAAGGCTTTAGTCTGTAGTATGGATTACACCTCAACATAAAGAAAATCCTGACAACTGGACCAATAAGCAGCATCATGATACACAGATAAAACATTGAACCTGTCAAAGATTCTTACTACTTGGACCCACAATTAACACCTATGGAAGCAGCAGTTAAGAAATCAGATCATGTATTGCCCTGGGCAAATCTGTTATACAAGGCTGTTTGAAAGTGCTGAAGAGCAAACATATCTCTTCATGACTAAGGTGCACCTAAGCCAAGTCATAGTATTTTTTCAGTGCATCATATGCATGTGAAAGGTAGACAGGGACTTAGGAAGACCAAAAAATAGTTGATGCTTTGGAGTTGTGGCATTGACAAAGAATACTCAAAGTACGACAGACTGCCAGAAGAACAAACAAAGGTGTCTGCTCATGCTCCATCTTCACAATCCTTGCTATACTTGAGCCCACTGTTGCTGCCAATGTGCTAATCCATCTCCTCGAGGGTTTTGCTGACCCTCCAGTGTACCAACCATGATATGTTTCACCAGGTAATGGACCCTTCCAGAAACATGACCTACGTAGGTGAGATGACATCTGGGCACTCTCGATTCCAAGGAGCCTGGTATATGCACTTCTTCCAGGATATATTGGTTCATTTTGCTGGGAGTTTATGGTATTTTCAGCATTGCCCACCAACACTGTAATTCAAAAACATTAACTCATCTACGGTCTTCCTTATTCATTGTCCAGCTTTAATACGCATAGAAGGCAATTATAAACACCATGGCTTGGATTAGGTGTACCTTAGACTTCAAAGTGACATCTTTTTCTTCCACACGTAAAGACCTCTTTTACAGCACATTTACCCAGTGCAGTACAACATGTGATTTCTTTACTGCTGCTCCATGGGGTGGACAGTGGAACCAATATGGAATGTT